GAGTGACTTTCCCAAGGTCACAGACTTGTATCTGCCCCTTATAAATGTCTATTCTTTTATTTAAGTGTTTGTAAATAGACTACTGTTTCCTCTGTGTAAAATTCTCACAATGGCCTTAAAAGAAGCCTATTATTACTATCCCCATTCTGTGTTTGAGAAAAATGGAGGCACAGAGAAGTTAAGTAACTAGCCTTTTAGTACTCTGTTCTTCCCTGGAAAATGGTGGCAGCAAGAAAGGAGTTCCAAATTCAGATACTAGAAGAAGAAAAAAATACTACAACAATTATAAGCAAATGGGGAAAGTTGAGATTTGCATAGTATCCATTTAGTGAAATGGATCCTTCCCTGTTCTCTTTCTTCAGGCTCTCATTACCTCTTATCCGTTCTGTTCCAACCCACTTGAAGCAGGCTGTCTTCTCCATTCATCTTATAATGACGTCAGTTGGGTGCATAGCAGTGATTCTCAACTTCTGTTACACATTGGAATTCTGAGATTCTGTGTTTCTACCAAACTCCGGGAGGTGCGGATTTTGCTGGGCTATGGACCACACTTTGAGTAACAAGGGCTTGGAGAACATGGTAACATTATCCCCTTGCCCAATAACATCATAGGCTTCCTGTTACCCACATAATAAGATGCCTCAGTCTAGCATCTCAGGCTGGCAACAGGGTCATTTAACGTCCTCTGACAGCAGTGGTTCTTTTTTTTTTTTTTTAAAGAGTTTATTTATTTATTTGAGAGAGAGAGAATGAGAGATAGAAAGCACGAGAGGGAAGAGGGTCAGAGGGAGAAGCAGACTCCCTGCTGAGCAGGAAGCCCGATGTGGGACTCGATCCCGGGACTCCAGGATCATCACCTGAGCCAAAGGCAGTCGCTTAACCAACTGAGCCACCCAGGCGCCCAGCAGTGGTTCTTAAACATGACTAATATCTGAATGACCTGTGGGTTAAGTTTTAAGATACATGTTCCTAGGCCCCACACCAAGCCTACTAAATCATACTTTTTCAAGATACAGCCTACAAGGGTATTTGGAAGACACTTCCTAAATGGTATAGAAGATTAACAAGGTTTAGGATCCCCAGTATGCTTCCAAGACGCTTTTCCAGGCTCATTTCCCATTCCTCCAACCAGTGAACATCTAGCACATCTGCCTCCCACCAGGTATTAGACAAACAAAGATGAAAACAGTTTGATCCTTACTCATGAGAGACTGGCAAGATAAATGTCAAAACTAGATTATTAACTATTCCCCAGCCATGGTGTAAATGCTCACACCTCTACTTAACGACTTTTAAGTCTTTTTAAGACTGTCTGGGCCCCTCAGCATCCCATTGTTGCCCATCCTAATAAACAAATCCACATACCCTCTTTACCCCATTTGAGCCTCCATACTTGTTTGCTCATCTCTTCCAACTGACTTTCCTTGGTATTAATAGATCTCGAAGAGGAGAAAGGATTTACCGGAAGTGTCACCGACCACAATAATTAACATTTATATAGTGACTTCCTGGGGCCCGCCATTGTTCTAAGCAGTTTACATAGGTAAAGCGTGTAAAATTCTCACAATGGCCTTATAAGAAGCCTATTATTACTATCCCCATTCTGTGTTTGAGAAAAATGGAGGCACAGAGAAGTTAAGTAACTTGCCCAAAGACACAGAGTCAGTAATCAAGCCGGGTTTATTTCTAAGCCTTGTGTTCTACCGCCAAGTTGGTGGCAGGGCTGTCACGAAAAGGACTACTAATTCCCAAGCCTAAGCACTTTCCTGGCAAATTAGTGATTTGTGTGCTTGTTTCACAACTGAGACTCAAGCGTGAGAGCAGCGATGAGATCTTGTATCTCCCACAGTGCCTAGTAGGGGTGCGAGTCCTCAGTTACTGGATGGGCTGTCCCAAGCTGGGGGGGACGGGGGACGGGATGGGTAATCATTCAAACAAACAAACAACAAACACGCAAACAAGGGCAGCAGCCTGCGGGTCTCACGTGACCACTAGGTCACACCCCGTTATCTCTCCCCCCCCCCCCCCCCCCCCCCCCAGCCCGGAGCGCTGGAGGAGCACCCTCCGGTTCCGTCGTCCAGCTCGGGTTCTGCGCTCCGTCCTCCCAGCCACAAGGTGCCCCCAGACCCCGGGCTCCTCTTCCGCCGCCGTCAGAGCATCGTTCTCTCTCCTTCTCTCCGCCGCTTCCTGCTCCGGGGATCCTCGCTCTGAGCTCTGGGGCCAAGGCGCCCGAGGCTTCCCGGGGCGCTCGGCCAGGTAACAGCGCGGCGCGAACGGCCGGACTGCGGCCGCCGGGCTGGACTGGGGACCAGGGCGGCCCGGTCCGCCCGGCGCACTCGCGGGGAAGGAGGCGGGCAGATGGCCCCGCCTGGCCGCCGAGGAGGGGCTGGGGGCGGGGGGGGGCGGTGTTCTCCTCCTCCCTGGGGGCGCGGGAGGCCTTGCCCCGCCGGGCTCGGGCGGGCGGCCGGAGGTCTGCACAGCGGCGCGGCGCAGGTGCTCGCGAGCCGGGCGTGGCCCGCGGTCCGTGGGCGCGTCGGAGGGAGAGGCGCTCGCGGTGCCTGCGGGGCGCCCGGGTTGCCGCTCGCCCCAGCCACGCCTGCTCCGCGGTCGCCAGCCAGGTGGGCCCGCCCAGCGCTCCTCCTCCCGAATCTGGCCCTGGAACGCGAGGAGCGAGGACTAGAGCTTTGGAATTCTGAGCTGGATCGGCCACCCCAATACCCTTGCGTTCTTTTACCCAAGAGTTAAACAAAACAAAACAAAACAACAAAACCGAAATCCAGAGATGGAGTGACTTTCCCAAGGTCACAGACTTGTATCTGCCCCTTACAAATGTCTATTCTTTTATTTAAGTGTTTGTAAATAGACTACTGTTTCCTCTGTTCTGCCAGGGAATTAGGATTCAGGGAAGAGGACTCTAAAAATACTAATCAGCAGATCCAAATGAGCTGATCCGTATTACTGGCCGGTGACCCGGGCATTTAGAAGGAAATAAGCGAGGACGGTTCTTTTCACTCCGGGTACTTTGTATTTCTGGCCCTTGCTCTGAAAATTGGCCTAGATGTTTTACAAAATTTATCTCAGAACTCCTTGTCAGAACTGGGCCAGATTAGAGTTTGCAATCGTCTTTTCTTCTCTCTCCCCCGCTTTTTTTTTTTTTTAACGGAGGCTCAAGAGGTGAAAGTGATTTCGCCCACACTTTTAGGCCTAGTTAGGGGCACAGACAGAATTGGAACTCAGGACTGTGATTGACACCTACTGTTTTCTTGAATAGAAACCTGATTACAGATGAACGCTTTACAGAACCTGACCTTCATCAAGCTCTCTCTGGATAGCGTTCTCGGGAGTGCTTTGTATTGGTCCATGGATAGTATTTCACTTGTCAGAATAGGGTTAAGCAGTAAGTGTAGCCATGCAGAAAATTCCTGCTGAGATGAGACAGATATCTGCAATGGTTTTGACTTTTTTATTTGTACTTTCAATAGAGGAGCTAACGAGTATTAATAACAACATCTTGGTTACTTTAAGATTTTAGTCCTGTATGGCCAAATTGATCCAGTTACAGTCATTCTTGGCTTGATATACTTGTCATCAGTAAAAATTTCAAAGCGTAGCTTTCTGACTTTGATGTTTAACTGAATAACTGCCTTAAGGATATTTTTTTATATCTCAACAAAAATTTCCCACTTATACCATCTGCTTCCCCCTTTGTCAGTCTTTGAGTTGGATTTCAGAACTGAACAGAGCTAGAATTTTTTTTTTTCCCTTCCGAAATACCTAGACTCCTTTTAGTTCCCTATTCAGGTTTACCTCAAGTTTCGATTTTAATTGATAAACCTGTGACCCAAATCCAAACTTCAGTTGAGTTTAGTATCAGCTTCAAACCACACAAAACTGCTATGTGTCATATGACCTCTTGTAGAAACCACATGTGGTGGTACTGTTTTCTCAAGAGAGCTTCTTATTGGGATTTTTGAAGTGTGAACACATTATCTAATACATGTATTGTATTACTCATGTTCATCGTCCAAGGTCAGTCACCACTGGCAGGTTATTGTTGACATTTACTCATCGTAACAACACGTTATATCAGGCAGTCTACCAACTCAGAATGAAGTTCCTGGTTTTCGGTTTAGAGCTTTTATCAGTTCTCTCTAAGGAACATGGAATCAGAATTACAGCCATGCTTTAATGGAAGATTCTTGGCTGTGTTGATAAGGAAGAAGTGTTTCAGTGAAGGCGGTATTTTTGTACTATCCTAGAGTAGAAATGAAGATTATATGCAAATTGACCCAATGCTGTTTTCTTAGGGTGTATCCTTTGTTTTTCTGGTTTTGGTCTTTTCATCATAGGATGGCATTAGCTCTGTGTCCGCAGGTGCTGTGCAGCCTGGGGGGCTGGCTCTCACTCTACATTTCTTTCTGCCACCTGAATAAGCACCGAAGCTATGAGTGGAGCTGCCGGCTGGTTACATTCACCCATGGAATCCTCTCTATAGGCCTCTCAGCTTATATTGGCTTCATTGATGGCCCCTGGCCATTTACCCATCCAGGTAGGTGGGAGACATTAGAGGATTTTCCCTCTAATGTAATTCCCTCTAATGTAATTCCCTCTAATGTAATTCCCTCTAATCATAATTGGGGGGTAGTCTTGGAAGGATGGGACGTTTTCACAGAATTTGTACAATATTGGAGAATACTGAAGAATAATTACCATTATAATTTGTATTGGGAATCTTCATTTTTAACTCTTATACTGTATATGTCCCTACTTCTGCTTTTCATAACTCTCTACTTTTAAAACAAGTTTTAAATGCTTGTTACGTTGTAATCCACCGAAATATACAAAACATAAAGCCAATATCAACGTCTTCTACCAACCCCTCCAAACAGACACAGATGGCCTGTATTACACATACTTTTTGATAACCTGCAATTTTCACTTGATTGTATATTCAGAGGACATCTATGTACTAAATTTCTTTTATCCTTCTTAATTGTGATGTAATATTGTGTTGTATGCATATACTATGATTTATTTAACTGATGTCGCATTATTTGCAGCACTTACATTGATTTTTTTAAACTGCTAGATGTACAAGTATTACCTCCTCAGAATAAAAAAGGTTGTATCCCCTTGAATTAGTTTGCTGGAGCTGCCGTAACACAATGCCACAGACTGGGAAGCATGAACAACAGAAACTTATGTCTTCACAGTTCTTCAGGCTCGAAGTCCAAGATCAAGTTGTTGGCTGGTTTGGTTTCTTCTAAGGCTGTTCTGTTTTGCTTGCAGGTGGCTTCCTTCTTGCCATGTCCTCACATGGTCTCCCCTTTGTGTGTGTCTGTGTCCTGATCTCCTTCTTTTATAAGGACACCAGCCGTATTGGATAAGGGCCCATCCTAACAACTTCATTTTATCTGAATTACCTCTTTAAAGGCCTTCTCTCCAAATACAGTACATTCTGAGGAATTGGGGGTTAGGGCTTTGACATAAGAATTTGGGGGGTAACAGTTCAGGCCAGAAGTCCCCTAGGATATGATTTTTTTTTTAATTCCTTAGTTTTTTTTTTTTAATTTCCTTAAATTCCTATATTTAGCTTCTGAGGCTTTCCCAAAACTATTCCAACTGATATGAAAGCAGCTATTAAGCTGTATGTCTTATATGAACGTTTTAAATAGATTTGAACATGTCATGTCCTCACACTTGATTTTCTTGGGCTGGGAATACACTAACTTCTGGGGTCTTAGTGTATTCCAAGTCCATTTTCAAGAAGGGTAGGGCCACCAGTGTCCAGACAATCTAACCCATTAAGCTAAGAAATTAATCCGACATCCAGGGCAGAATAACTAAAAGAGCTTGGAAACAGACCTTTAAAACTGGTCAAATAAATAAATAAATAAAATTTAAAAAAATAAAAAAGAGAAAGAAAGAGCTGTGGGATTTTAATTGAAAGGACAAAGCAGCTCAATTTTATGCTGCTCCATAGAGAGGACACTGAGATCATGGGCTGGTGCTCAGATCATTCATTGAGCTCTGATTCATCAAAACAGAATTTCCCAGGCCTGTGACATGATTGGGTTTGATAAAGACCAAGGTTTTAGATTTTAGTCTTTCTTGGTCGTCGCTCAGATGAATGTGCCTGCCTTTGTCTTTGCTCTCAGTGGTTCCAGAAAGCTTGGGAAACATTGGACCCCAGTGTCCCGGTGCAGGGCAGCTCGATTCCCAGCCACTCAGTTTGCTTCTGTCTTGGTTTATTTCAGGCTCACCCAATACTCCTCTCCAAGTGCACGTTCTGTGTCTCACCTTGGGCTACTTCATCTTCGACTTGGGCTGGTGCATCTACTTCCAGTCTGAGGGGCCCCTGATGCTGGCTCACCACACACTGAGTATCCTGGGCATCATCATGGCCCTGGTGCTCGGGGAGTCAGGCACAGAGGTCAACGCGGTCCTCTTTGGAAGCGAGATCACCAACCCCTTGCTACAGATGCGCTGGTTTCTCCGTGAAACAGGCCACTACCACAGTTTCACTGGAGATGTGGTGGACTTCCTCTTTGTGGCCCTGTTTACTGGAGTGAGGATTGGTGTAGGAGCTCACCTCCTTTTCTGTGAAATTGCTTCCCCCAAGCCCAAGTGGTTTGTGAAGGTTGGGGGAGTAGCGATGTACGCTGTGTCTTGGTGTTTCATGTTTAGCATCTGGCGCTTCGCGTGGAGGAAGAGCATCAAGAAGTACCATGCCTGGAGGAGCAGGTTGAGTGAGGAGCGGCAGCAGAAGCACAACGGCCATCTTAAAACACACTAGCCGAGGCTTTCTCCAGACGGTGGATTGGGTTCAGTCAGCCACGGGACCCAGGTTGGAGATACGGCTGTTACAGAATCAGGCTTACAACGAACTGAGGTTTCACAAAAGGGCTACACCTTATTGGTCAGTTTGGTCGGTCTTCGAGTGGAGCCCGTACCAGTATTAAAACACTAATGTCTACCATGGCGCGGTTGTAGAAAAGCGAGACTACTCGGTGGTAGTTGTGAGTACGTCGGCGCCGTGAGGTGAGCAATGCTGTGTTCCTGTTAGTTCCTGGTGTCCCTGGGATGCCTGATGGCTGGACAGCTCAGGAAGGAATTTGAGAATCCCTTCGAGAATTGACTCCTTGAACAAACCCTTATTCCTGCTTTCCATGTAGCAGTTTAAATAAAGTCACCCCATTTACTACAAAGGGAGGGACTTTCAGGAAGATGAACGTCTGGCATTCTGAGCATCAGATCAGGGAACCGGATGTGCTCACACAAAGGGAAAGAGCTGAGAGGAGGTTGGGGTGAAACTGGCCTTGGTAATGGGTCACTTCTTGAGGCCTCCCTATACCAAACGTTGAGGCTCACCAAGACCCCCCCCCGCCCCCCAGTTTTGGTGCTTTGCTTGGGGGATTCACATGACTCAGAATGTAGTCAAGCTCCTAGCTGTGATCAATTACAGTGAAGGGGTCCAAAGAGGGCCGTAAAGGGAAAAGGTGCCAGGGGCAGAGTCGAAGGGAAACCAGGCCCAGGCTTCCGGAGTCCTCTCCCAGTGGGATCACCCAGGATGTGCTTCCTTGCTCTAACAATTTGTGGCCATATGTGTAAAATGGCCAATGAGGAAGCTCATTAGCTGCTCAGTGCCCAAGTTTTTCATTGGGGGCTGGTCATGTAGGCAGCCATTGCCTGGCATGGAGCAAAATTCCTGACTCCCAGCAGGAAAGTAGGTGTTCAGCATGAACCATATTGTCTGCACAAAAGGTTGAGGCATGGTGAGCCATTCTCAGCAGTTAGTGGAAGGAGCGCTCCCGAAATCTAAGTTCCCAGATGCCAGCTAAGGGCCAACCTTGCAAGTTGGCCTTTCCAAGGACAGGAGTTCAGGCCTGCCCTGTTAACTCTTTTCTGCAGAAAAACCAGAGAGCTAGGGCTTTGGGTGAGAGATGAATGAGGTGTGGGCGGATTTACCAAGTCCTGTTGTACGGGTTCTGCCCTACCGGGAAAACTATGCCAATCCTCAGGGCTTTTGTGCATTAATCTCCCAAGCATGAGAGGCTGTGAGTGAATTCCATAGGGATTTACCATGTGGATTCCACCGTGCTTGAGATGGCAGTTCAAGTTTCAGCTCTGCTATACATACTGCAAACCAGAACCAAAGACAAGTGTACTGGCCGCAGGGTGATGAGGCTAATTTTTTTTTTTTTTAATATCATATACATTCCCTTTAGCCCTCTTAACTACCTTTTCTTTTCTCTGAAAAAGATGCCCCTCTCTATGGATAAAGTATTATGACAAGGGCAGTCTTGGTAGGGAACAAAGTGCAATAGTCTCTAATCTCACCCAGGGAAAGCAAGAATGTAAGCTTAGAACGAAAGGTTAGTAATCAAGACTTCCTGGGTTCTTTTAACTAATTTGGCTGCTCACTTGCCAGATCAATTGGGCAGGTCACTTGTGTACTCTTTGTCTCGGTTTAAAATCTGTGATGAATGAATGAAATACCCTGTTGTGTATTTCACAGCGACACTATGGCATTTTATTAAGGGATGTCTTTAATGTAGGACTTTTATGGAAAAAAATTATTATTTATTTATTTGCTGTTTATTTATTTATTTGATTATGTATTATGTTATTTAGACCACTGGGGATTGATCTGCTCAGTTAGTGAGCAAATGTGTGGGGCCACTGAAGGCTAAGCCTAGGTTGATAGGAAGTCTCCACCCATTCTGTGGTCACTGGTAATACTAACCTAATGAGTGGTCTTGAAAATGGATGTCACTGGCCAGGCATGATGGAGCGTTGGAACCGCATGAAGTCATTGTTGCTCTGGCAAAAGCAGCTTTCAAGGCATGTTAACAGTGGGTCTTTTAAAATGACTGTCATCGGGTTAACAAGTTTTGCTGCACATGGAAATAATCTGACAGTAGCGTCTCCGTCTCTTTTCTTCTGTGATCGGGATCCCCAGAATGCTGGTGAGCTTCTTTCCAACAAAACTGTGGTCAAAGTTGGATGCTGGGGAATGCTGATTTTAGCAAAAGCCTAATAAAAAAGAGTGGCTTGGCGCAGGAGCTTAAAAAAAGAAAAAGCTGGCTCTTGAATTTTGGCACAGTGCAACCTGTTCCATACCAGACAAATGAATAGGCTTAATCTGGTACCAATTTTTTTTTTTTTTTTTCCTTTTCACTCCTCAGAAGTGAAGGGATTGCAGACCTCGCTGTTTTAGGGGTACTCTCACGGGAATGTACATAGGTTTCTTTTGGATTTTGAATGACCTAAATAATAAGAGAAGAAAAATTGTTCATTTCAGCTTTTCTTGATGTTTTAACTAATAACTATGAAGGAAACTCCCTGAGAGAAAAATGGGACATGCAGGTGAGTCAGCAGTTAAGATGCTGTGTTTCTACATCACAGGTAAACGAAGGGCTAATTAGCATGTGGTATGGTCAGACAAAATGAAGTATTTTATTCATTTGCCTTTGGATTACTATGTAATAATTCCTAACACTGCTCAAGATTTATACTTCAATGAGATTTGTACTAAATTTTATAAAAATAAACAACTTTTTATCAACCCAGAGTCTGCCTTTATATCTTTATTGTGGTTTTGCCAAGAAGTAAAAAAAAAAAAAGTCTTTTGGCTTATAGAAATGTTGACCCATATTTATACTTATCTGTGCAATACATCTGCTCTTACCATCAACCATTCCTAATAACTTTACTTTTGGGGGCAACAATCTGCATACAGGAGAAAGATTGCCAAAGAGAGAGGAAGAACTAAATTTATTTTGCCACCTGTTTGGGCAATTGCCTTGAATTTTCATTTACTTATTATATTGGGTGGGGTAGGGGCAGAGAGAGAGAGAGAGAATCTCAAGCGGATACCCTGCTGAGCACAGAGCCCAACAACATGGGACTCAATCCCACAACCCTGAGATCATGACCTGAGCCCAAAACCAACAGTTGGACTCTCAACCGACTGACAGGCACCCCTGGGCATTGCCTTGAAAATGATGATGTTGAATGGGCTCCCTGAGGACAAGGGCCCTCAGGTCTCTTCAGAACTGTTTAGAATGCCTAGAACAGTGTTAGACACATAGTAGGTGCTCAACAGACGTTGAAAGAACGGATGAGGATGTGGTTTAGAATAACCACCTTGCCCCTCTCCCCAGGAGAGGGGAACCTCAAAGAGCATGTGCCATGGATTGTGTCACCAGTGTAATTTTTTTAGGTAAGGGACTAATGACCATGGGCATTGTGTTCTACCTAGACTGGTGTGACTCTTCTGAGGGCATTCTATAGAG